TTCCATTTTCATCAACTTTATGTTTTCAGAACCACTCAAATGTGTAGCAGTGGCGGAGCCAGGATGTTTTCATTGGGGCCAGCAACCAGTCTGGGGTGGCACAGAAACCTTAATTATTTCAATATAAAAATGTGTACTGGACTGTTTTAGTGCCCAAAACACAACTGAATACAATACATTTGTACCTAATTGTAACTGAGATAGTTGTGAATTAGATCACGTAATACTGAGTGAATATGACATTATTGTTCCTCACCTCACAGGTATTTTAATAAAGGGGCTCACTATGGCTTTGTTGCTCAGTCAGCTTGGTTCTGGTTCTCAACACCCCCAAAAGCTTGTTCTTCATTGCGTACTCATGGATGAGACATATAACAGAGACAGATAACTGCACAGTTCAAAGTTTAGTCAACCGTCACTGACTTTTATATAATCAATGAACTCTGAAAAAGTCAAATGTTTGGCAGCAGTTCCCTTGTACATATTCCAGGATGACAATACCAAGATTCACCAGGCTCAGTCTGTGAAACATTGGCCTGACCTAAACCCCACAGAAAGTCTTGCGGATGTGCTGGAGTTGCAAACTCTAATATTTTGTTGGATCACCTTAAGCTTTGATTATATTGTGCCACTTCACAGCATTTATTTCCATCAAGAGTTGCATTAATATTTGGCCGAGATCGTGTATTGACAATGAGGGAGATGGACCACTCTTTAAAGCTGACTCCAGCACATCCTGAAGACTTCCAATAGGGTTAAGGTCAGGTCAAAAGAACTGTTGCAAAACATAAAACATGCCAGAAATATGTTGATATTGTAGATTATTGTAGAAACATTGTAGATATTATGACCAAAGACAGATACAATTATCTGACATGCATGACCTAAAGTAGTCTTTTCCCTTATGACATGTTTTTTTAGCAGATTTATTAGAATTTATGTGCATGGTGGAGCTTCCATGAAATATACAAAGGGGTTGCCTGCAGAGACATTCCCCTCACTCTACTTCAATAGAAGTCTACAGGGTTGGTTGCTAGGATGCTGCAGCTGGTTACTAGGGTTTGGCTAGGAAGTTGGTAGGTCACTACATATTGGCTCCTTGCCAGCCTGAGTCAAATGAACCCAACACATCTCTCAAATCAACGGCACGAGAATTAGCACTGTTTCGGTGAAAAGTGATTACAGAAAACAGTTGAATTGAACTTCAGTTAAAATGCTTCTTTTAAATGCTACCTTTTTTATTTCTAAAATTCTTGTTAAACGAGTTTAAATGTTTGTAATATTGTAAATTATGCTGTATTCACCCAAATAAATTCAATTTGTCTTATATTTTGAACATGGGAGTTCTTGCTTAATAAAAAATGTTCATCTTTTGATTACTGTTGTTGCCTCTAGTAATTCTGTGTGATTTTTAATTTCCAGTCCATTTTAAACCAGCAACATAATTTTTAAACAATAGTTGACTTACATAAAACAACCCAGCATGCTGGGTAAAAACATTTAATCCAACCAGCTGGGTCAAAATAACCCAGCATGTGTTCTGTCCAATATTTACCTAGCGCTAGGTTGCCAAATAAACCAAGTTGGGTTGTTTTTAATCCAGTATTTTTTAGAGTGCATGGTGCGGAAACCCACACCTACTTAACAGAACTTACTTCTGTACCAAACCCATTTGATGTAAAGACCACAATCCTAACCCAATACGCATTAAAAATGTATATTAATAATAATATTATTATTTTGGACAAATGTGCATAAACAACAGGCATTACAACACAGGCTGTAAAGATCCTTTACTCCAGGAAAGGAGAGGTGTGATAATGTGGGTGTTTCAGGTTTCAGGTGATCGTGATTGTTGTGGCGAGCGAAGGTGGAGCCTGGTTAATCAGTGACAGTACCCCCTCCACAGCCTGCTCCTGCCATGCTGGACAATCAGGACGAGATTCATGGAAAAAGGTAAGACGACCAGGACCCATGATCAATCCTCTGGTCCATATCGGTCCCAGTCTACCAGATACCACGGCGTCAGGAATCCGAGCTCTTCCAGGATGAGCGGTGGGGGTCCTCCATGGGACCAGGCTCTGTGGAAGAGTCAGACACAGGAGGGTGGTCAGGTAGTAATGTGTGGGTAACTTAAGGTGGAGGGGTTGAAGTGGCGAATAATGAAAAGAGGCCAATGTATCTGGGACTTATCTTCTCGCAGGGCAGGTGCAGCTTGATGTCCCTGGTGGAGAGCCACACCTTTTGTCTGGGTTAATATTTTAGCGTTCCAGTCCACCGGGAATCAGCATGACCCTTCTGGTGGCGCACTGCCCTTTGAAGATTTTGATGAGCCACTTCCCAGACCCTCTCGCTCTCCCAGAACCAATGGTCAACCGATGGAGCACGGAAATGGAGGAGGCTGGAAGCTGAGTATGCACTAAAAGGGCATGAGTGTAAAGAATGCTTTCCAGACGCAGTAAGTGATCGGAAATGGTGTCCTCTGGGAGGCCAAAATTGCAGCAAACACGATGAAACATCAGCCCAGCAGTTTCCATGGCAGATGAGGGTCCCTTGAAGGGAATTAGATGTCAGACTTTGTAATATCTGTCTACAAGGATGCAGGTACAACTATCTGAGGGAGGCAGACTGGTTGAAGTCTCTCCGAGGTGTGACCAGGGCCGCTGAAGAAGAGAAAACATAGCACATTCAGAACATCCTTGAACAAACCTTCTCTCGTCCTGTGACATTCCTGGTCACCAGAAGTGATCTTATACCAGTGAGAGGTTTTGATTGGCCCCATACAGGTGTGACAGATCTGATCAGAGGGATGCATTGAGGTATGACCTGACCTCCAATACCTCCAAGAAGATCTGTGTTCCTGATGTTGTCATTTTTCTCCACTGGGGTAAGCTTTTTAGAGAAAAAGGCACATTGATGAAGTTTTGGTGATGTCCTCTGCTGCCGAGACCGGATCGCTCCAACTCCTGTTGTAGAGGCATCTACTTCAACCACAAAGGGTTTCTTGGAGTCTGGATGAATTAAGAGCGGTGCGCTGGGAAATGCTTCGAGTCGTTGCATGGCTTGGGTAGCAGCTAGAGTCCAGGACAGAGACTTGGGCCTGACTTTGAGGAGACTGGTGAGTGAATGAGTAATGGAACTGAAGTTATGGGTGACGCATGGATAGAAATGGGCAAAACCAAGGAAACGTTGTAACTCTTTTACAGTTGTGGGAGTGGGCCACTTGTGGACTGCAGCAACCTTCCCCCATGTCCATCCGAATGCCCTCATTACTGATAACCCAGGAAGTGAGTTTGTGAAGGTGTGTTTGATTAAGCAGACATGCAAAACGTGCAGCATTGGGATACTCCAGGAATCTGTTTGGAAAATACTGCTTCAGGGCTGTGTTCCCCAAAAGCAACTAAGTTGATCAATTTAGGCTTACAATGCTTTTGGGAAATGCAGCCCAGATTACCAAACAGTTTTTTATTCAGTAGGTTCAGGTTTTGTTTGTTTTTTAAAACGATCAACAGGGCACTTCTGGCTGTTAGATTCAGTAAAGATGCAATCCCTGTAATGGTTGTTCACTGAACTGTACTTTCCAAATGAGACCAATTGAGCTTTTTTTTTTGTAAAAAAGTAAAACTTCTGAATGTTTTTTTGTGAGTTAAGTTATAGTAGGTTATTTATAATTAGCTGTTTATGAAACAATATAAGTCTATGAAATAGCTAAATTTAGCTAAATTTGAGCTAAATACTTGTGAGAGAAATTTATTTGGAAAAGCATTGAAATGCAATGTTATTCAGCCGTTAGATTAATATGGTTGGTGGTTTGTGTTTATTTTGATGAACTGGAACTGATCCCAACCAAGATCGAAAACCAGTGCTATAAGAGATAATACTACTTTAAAAGTTTGCTTTGCAAGTTGACATAGTAAATCAGTGTATAAGCCAACATAAAGAAAAATCCTGCAGCTGATGCCATGTCCATCCGAATGCCCTCATTACTGATAACCCAGGAAGTGAGTTTGTGAAGGTGTGTTTGATTAAGCAGACATGCAAAACGTGCAGCATTGGGATACTCCAGGAATCTGTTTGGAAAATACTGCTTCAGGGCTGTGTTCCCCAAAAGCAACTAAGTTGATCAATTTAGGCTTACAATGCTTTTGGGAAATGCAGCCCAGATTACCAAACAGTTTTTTATTCAGTAGGTTCAGGTTTTGTTTGTTTTTTAAAACGATCAACAGGGCACTTCTGGCTGTTAGATTCAGTAAAGATGCAATCCCTGTAATGGTTGTTCACTGAACTGTACTTTCCAAATGAGACCAATTGAGCTTTTTTTTTTGTAAAAAAGTAAAACTTCTGAATGTTTTTTTGTGAGTTAAGTTATAGTAGGTTATTTATAATTAGCTGTTTAAATAGCTAAATTTAGCTAAATTTGAGCTAAATACTTGTGAGAGAAATTTATTTGGAAAAGCATAGAAATGCAATGTTATTCAGCCGTTAGATTAATATGGTTGGTGGTTTGTGTTTATTTTGATGAACTGGAACTGATCCCAACCAAGATCGAAAACCAGTGCTATAAGAGATAATACTACTTTAAAAGTTTGCTTTGCAAGTTGACATAGTAAATCAGTGTATAAGCCAACATAAAGAAAAATCCTGCAGCTGATGCAAAATTAATTCTGCTAAATCAAATGAAGAAAAGGTAATCACTCATTTCTGGACACATCCCTGGCAATAGTGTTTTTCCATAAGTCTAGACACCTTTACTGATATGTCTTACTTGTACATATTCAAACTCTACAATCACGATTGGCATTAGGGAGTTTTTATTCAGATGGTATATATTAATATCACATGTGCCCAATTTACTCACTGCATCTGCAACAGTAGTTTTCCCTCGAAAATGCATGCAAAATCCTCAGTTGAGCCCTGAAAAGGACTCTTTTTTTCAGCTGACAGGACTCAAGTATTTCAGTAGTGTATGCAGCACATTGAGGAAAAAATAGAAAAGCAAATAAAAACAACCCCCATTGTCTTTATTTAATTAGACATTTTACAGTAGTCACTCTTACAGTAGCTGCCTTGTTTTTCTTTTTCCCCATTGTTTCAAATATTCTATCACATGGATCAATGCAAAGGAAGAAATATATATTTATATATGAATGCCCAAAAACAGGAAATTTTGGCAAGATATTATAATAACATGATTTCAGCCCTGTGCATTCAACAGGGTGCATGTTTGGTTCATACATGGCAATTCAGTTTTGTGGGCTATGAATCTGCAAAAAAACATGGTCGGATGAAAGATGAACCGTATTTAAAACCTATTCAAGTTCTTCGTGCCGATTCCAGAAATGATCAACAACTCAGTGTTTGATATGTAACTATGAACAGCACACATGTATTTCCCGATGTGCAAGAACGTCGTTTAAACAAGAAATCTAAAAACAACAACATCATCAACAACAACAACAAAAAACCATTGCAACTACATTGTCGAAGTCACTTTTAAGGGATGCTGTTTGTCTACTGCCATCAAACACTTTAAACTGCCATGTATTGGACCCAATACTGAATAAAAGTGTGCAAGGAATACAGTCAGTGAACGGTGTCGACATGCATCGTATTCTGGAAGGAAGCAGCTGCAGAGCTCAGCGAAAGATTGAAGAAAAGTTGTTTCCGAGGCTCCCTGGTAGAGGCCCGTTCAATAGTTCAACAGAGAAGATGGAAGTGGCTTCAAATCAGAACAATTAAAACTGTTAAAGCCTTCCTGCTCAGAGCAGCTCGTTCAGAGAAGCATTAAAACACCAGACTGGGAAGAATGCGCTTGCAGAATGTGTGGTTAGTCTTTTGCGAGTGGTAACACTGAATGCGGCTGGAAACACCAACTATTTTATTCTCCAATACATTTTCAAACTAATTGGCCACAACGCATTTTTCTTCACCATTTCTCCATTGCTAATGGAAGGCATATTTGAGTTTGGACCATTCTGGCTTTGAAGGTGAGCAGTTTTAATGACCTGACCGAATGACAACAAACCAATGCCTCGTTCTGTGAAAACCTTTCCAGATCTGCAGGAATCTACAGCAACATTCACCCTGCGACATTATATGCAATGCATGACGACACAGCAGCTCGAGCCTAGCGACGTCTGTCGGGCTTCCCGATCCGTGTCCTTCAGCGGTCAGGAAGAGAGCAGAAATGAAGAGGGGAAGGACAGAGGACGGGCAGCGTATGGCACAGCAAGGCCGAGAGCGAGTGAAGAGAACACCAAGCACACCATCAGAGCCCATCACCGTTAACACTGTTCACACACACCTCCGAAATTCACTCATTGATGGATGAGTTCTCCAAACGCCTAAAACCCCAAAATCAGAGTCCAGCCTCATTTTAGGGCCATAAAGATTTTTAAGCACCTGATCTCATCTCTGTCTCTGAACCTCATCACCTTTGACAGCAGCGAGGACTCAAATCTAATGTAAAATGCTCTTAGAGGTCCCAAAGAGGGCTTTTTTTTAAATTTGTGCAAAAAACCAAACGGATCAAATCGGTTTTGATTTTGGGGTGAGATCCACCCAAGCACACTAATATGGCTGTGTTTGAGACGAGCTCTCCACAGTAGGATGCATTCTGCATCGGGACAGAGCCAGTGCTCCCAGCAGGACAGCTGTGCCGGGGTCATTACAGCACACTACTAATCTGTACACACACTCATTACTGGTACGGGATATCTACATGGACTTGATTTCTCCATTCACAGATGGTTGATCCAGAAATAAAAAACAAAACCAAAACAGCGAAGTGTCTGTGATGTCCGAATGTGCTGTGCTCTGGTGTGTCAGGGGCCGGAGTCTAGCTGTTCTTGAGCAGGAGTCTGTCTTCGGCCGAGGGGAAGCAGTGCAGCTGGCAGACGTCTAGAGCGAGCAGGCCACAGGAGCGCAGGTCCACGCTCTGCAGAGAGGCGCAGCGGCGCAGCAGCGGCAGACACTGCTCCGTCACCTTCACGCAGCCTGAAACACAGCAGCGCAGTCACCACCGGGGAACACTGAGGTCTGCTGCACCTTCATGATAAACCCACACTCTAACACACCACCGGGATTTGAACAGTAAAAGACTGTAATAATGCTACCATAAATACCTTTTAATTGATTAACGGTAAGTTCCCCTACTATATACGGTGAAAAAAATACTGTATTAAGAATGCATCATTGACAGTGAAAAACCATAAAATTCACATTCTCAGAATTACCTGCTTTACATTTCACATTGATGTTTTTTATTTCGTTGAAATAACATTCTTCTTGGTTTTTTTCTTATCAGTTGTGTACAGTAGGGTTGTATGTTACACCTAATGTTGATAAATGAATGTTTATTGCATTATTTCAGTTTCATGGGTGTTTAGTGCTTGTGTGAATGACACTGTGCAGCTTCAATATATGTGACCCTGGGATTTGAGATTTATACAGCCTCTGAAAGCTGAATAAATAATATTTGCATTGATGTATGGTTTGTTAGGATAGGACAATATTTGAAAATCTGGAATCTGAGGGTGCAAAAAAATCTAAATATTGAGAAAATCATCTTTAAAGTTGTCCAAATGAAGTTCTTAGCAATGCATATTACTAATCAAACATTAAGTTTTGATATATTTACGGTAGGAGATTTACAAAATATCTTCATGGAACATGATCTTTACTTAATATCCTAATGATTTTTGGCATAAAAGAGAAATGTATAATTGTGACCCATACAATGTATTGTTGGCTATTGCTACAAATATCCCCCAGCGACTTAACACTGCTTTTGTGCTGCAGGGACACAAACTGTATGTTAGTATTTAAAAGCTGCTTGTGATGGGCTTTGGTTCATCATGTGATTTTCTCATCACCACCTGCATTTGGTGGTTATCAGTGTATTACAAAGGTACAAAACAGATTTCAGTACTTCCATAGGTTGGCATATTAACATTATATCATTTAAGAAAATTACGGTTTTTAAATGTAAATTTAAGTTAAATACATAAAGCCTAAAACGCACCCATTTTGGGTATTGCAGTCTGTACTAGTGAGCCGATGCAAAAATCTAAACGTTTTGGATGTTACCATGTTATTACCATGCTATTACTCTACTTAGCACCTTTTTTCTTAAATTATAAAATGATCATTATACCATTGCTAGTATGCTAGTAATGGATTAAATTACATTCCTTTGAACGCCGAACTCAAGACGGCTGTAAATTTATGAAAATTTAATTTTTTCCCCTAACAAAACAAAACAACATCAGCATTACTCTGGGATTCTAAAACTAAATATCTTCATTTTACTTGCATACACTTTCACTCATGGTTGATCAATAGGTGGCAGCAAAGTGAAATGTGGTCTATTTGGCCTTACTACTGCTGGTCCATGGAGTTTATAAAATTGAGATGAGATGAGAAATGTGTTAAATATATTTAACCTCCGTGTCATAAGTATATTTGAGATGCATCAGAGAGATAAAACAAATGTCTGCATAACATGATGTGTAAAGATACAATGTATCCAGTTGTATGAAAAATATTAAGATATAAATACATTCAATAAACTCTAGAGGTCAGTATTTGTCTTTAAAACGTCTCCGCATTGCGTGCCATAATAACTGAAGAGGAGGAAGAGTGTGTACCTGCCAGGCTGACGTGCGTGAGGCTCTCTCTCAGCGGGGATAGGGCAGAGGTCAGCGTGTGGATGCTCTGGTCTGTGATGTGGCAGCACTGACTGAGGTCCAGCTTGCTCAGGTGAGGAAGATAGCGCACTAGCAGGCGCGACATGCCGTCAGTCACCTCCAGGCCCGCCAGACGCAGCTCCGTCACGTTCTGGAAACGCCCGCCGCGGTTCTCTCCGTGAGCTGCGGACAACAGCAGCACAGCTTTAGTCCCACACGCTCACATTCAGGGCAGGAAAGCCGTCTTAACATGCAGCTTCTGAGCTCTGAAGATACGTCACTACAAGCCAAGCAGCCGACATTACCGATTCCATTACAAAACACTCTGGTTACACTTTACTGTACGGTGTCTTTGTTACAGTGTTACTATATAATTAAGTACACGAGCAAGTAACCCTGAAGAGTTTTATTCAGCGATAACAACTGCCTGGATGTACAGGTATCACTTTATTTGAAGGTGTTCTTGTTATACACGTTACATGTACTTACCTTCTTCTAATTGAGACAGCAAAGCTTCAAGTCTACCACAGTAAAAAAATAGATGAAAAACAGTTTCTGTTTGCCCACAGAAAGGACACTCCTCCCCTACCTGTGGATCAAGGTGTGCTCTGTATTTGTTTGTAGCTATTAAACCATGCACAATTCTCCACTGAAGGTCCCCAGACCTTTTCTCAATGGGAGCCTTATACAAGGTCCTCCAGCTACCTTTAGGGGAAGTCTCTGATCCAAAAACCTCTTGTCATTTAGATTCTTTTAGTCCCTTTAAAGAGTTTATATGGGAAACTTTGACACATATGACATACAGTGCTTTTTTCCCAGTTTCACTGAAAAGTCCTAGTTCAGGAGTTCTGAAGCTGAGCAAAAATCCTTCCCTCTCTTGAAAAGCATCAACCGCAGGCACAATTTTTAACTCTGGGAAAAAGACATCCCTATCTTCGTTTGTTTCCAAACCATTTTTAAAATTCATAGGTAAGCATTCAAGAAGATCATTCAACAGTTTCTGTGTCAAGCGAATTGGCCTCACACCCAGCTTGGCAGCCAGCATCTCAGCAGACATCCATTCATTTGTTGTTATTAAATGTCCAATCTTTGTAATTCCAGCATTCCTTAAAGCAGTCCTCATTGACGCTGACTTTAAAAAGTCCAAATCCACAACGGGATTGTGCAACAGAGGTTCTTCTCTCATCCAAGGGCCTTGCACATCTTTGAGGTTTCTTGATTTACTTAAAATTTCCCAGGCTTTCAACATTGAACGATAAAAAGGTGTCAGTCCAGACAAATCAAGACTTTTAGTGTCCATAAGGAATAGGTGCCGGTCAAGCCCCATACTGCCCGCTTTTCTTAGAAGAGAACAAGCTACTCCAGCCCAGCTTACATCTTTTCCATAAAGTAGCCTTTTTGCTGTCTGTAGCCTAAAAGTTTTTATTCTGCTATTAATGTCCACCAGTCCATGGCCTCCTTCTTGTCTGGGCAGGTATAACACCGATGCTTTTAGCCAATGCTGACCAGACCAGAAAAAATTCACAAGATGCTTTTGAACCAGTTCCTTGGGAGGTTCTAAAATAGTCATTTTGTGCCACAAGGATGAGGCTACCAGATTGTTACAGACTAAAACTCTTCCCCTGTATGATAGCTGGGGGAGCAGCCAATGCCAGCGAGACAACCGAGCACTCACCTTGTCCACCAGACCCTCCCAATTAAGCCTCTTATATTCTTCTTTTCCTAAAAAAACCCCCAGATACTTTAGCCCAGAACTTCCCCACTTTAGTCTACCTGGGAGTGTCGGACTACTAGAATCAGAAGAACCACACCATAGGGCATCACTTTTATCCCAATTTATTTTGGCAGTTGAAGCTTTCCCATAACTCTTCAAGATATCTGTTAAAACTTGAACATAATTTTCATTTCTCAAAATTACAGTGATATCATCAGCATATGCTGAGATTTTTACATAGTCATTACAATTTGGACCATTTATCTGTAACCCCATTAACTTTTCTCTCAATTTGCAAAGGAGAGGCTCAATAGCCAAACTATAAAGCTGACCTGAGAGTGGGCATCCCTGTCTTATGCCCCTCTGTACTTTAACAGGAACACTCAGTCCTCCTGCCATTTTAATCATGCATGTGGCATCATTGTACAACAATTTTATCATTGCAACAAAATTATCTCCAAAACCAAAAGCCTTCAAAGCTCTATAAAGAAACTGATGATCAACTCGATCAAATGCCTTTTCCTGATCTAAAGATAGAATTCCCATATCAATATTGTTTTTAAAGGCATAATCAATAACATCACGTACTAAATGCAAATTATCACCGATACATCTATCCTTTATACAATAGGATTGATCTTTGTTTATAATTGTGTGCAACACTTTATTTAACCTATTAGCCAAACACTTTGCTATTAGTTTATACTCGGAACACAGAATAGCAACTGGTCTCCAATTCTTTATTATCGTAAGGTCACCTTTCTTGGGAAGTAGTGTTAAAACTGCTTTGACAACTTTTAGGAAGAAAACCCACATGAAAAACTTCTTGTAGAACTTCACAAAGATCAGTTCAAATTAATGTCCAGAAGTGCTTATAGAACTCGCCAGGAAGTCCATCTATACCTGGAGTACGACCTGAGGCAAGTCCTGATACTGCAGCACTTAATTCACCAAAGGTAATTGCCGAGTCCAAAGTTTGTTTATCCTCAGTGGTTAAACGAAGAAGATTTTGCAATAGTTCATTTTGGCTCTTCTCATCCGTGTTCTCAGTCGAATATAACTTAGAATAAAAGTCTACTACCAGTCTGCGCATTTCTATAGGATCACTTGTGTCATGACCATGACTATTTTTCAAGCTATACATCTTTTTTTCTTGTACACTTTTGTGCTCCAAGTTAAAAAAGAATGAGGTAGGACCATCCATATCTTTTACTGATAAAAACCTACTTCTCACAAGAGCACCTTTGACTTTCTCATTTAGAATGGAACTCAACTTTGACTTTTTGTCAGACCACTCTTGTAAATTAACAGAAGGTTCTCTCATCATGTTCCCTTCAATGATTAGAATTTCTTTTTCAAGACACTCCAAAGTCCGTTTTAAACAAAGTTGAATAATACTTATATTGTTGACAAAATTCCCGTATATGTGTTTTACCAATTTCCCACCAAAGAATTACATTCTCATATCGAGTTTTCACTTTTCCATGTCTCCCAAAAATGTCCAAAGGATTCACAAAAACTTCTATCTTGCAACAACTTTACATTAAAATGCCAATAAGCACACTTATTTCTTCTAGATATCAATGTGCAGTCAACAGTAATAAGCTTGTGATCAGAAAAATGTGTGGGGATAATAGCTGTATGTATAACTCTGTTTTTCATATTGTTTGATACATACAATCTATCTAAACGTGCAGCTGAAATTCTCCCCTCATTTACCTTTACCCAAGTAAATTGTTTTACCAAGACATTATTTTCTCTCCAAATATCTGTAAAATTGAAAGATCCAATAATATTAGCTAAAACAGCAGATGAGTTGAAATTTGGTTCCTCTCCATTCCTTTCAAAAGAAGGATCAAGTGTATCAGTTCAGTTCACTTTCAGTGAAGGATCAGTTCCAATCCCCTCCTAAAATGATCAAATCATCTGACTGTTCTTGTTTTAAAAAATACTTCAATTTATTAAAAGTATTTATCCTATCAAAACCATTATTTGGAGCATAGATATTAACAAAAACAACAAAATGACCATTAATTTCAACTCTAACTGCCAATAACCGTCTGGGTTCAATTTCTTTTTTAGACATGATTTTAACTTTGGTAGTTGGAGAGAAAATAATTGCAACTCCTGCACTCAAGTTTGTCCCATGAGAAAGAATGCACTCATCACCATATGCCAGTCAATCTCATTATTCACATCACTATGAGTCTCTTGCAAGAAAGTCACATTTAAATATTTCAACCTAATAAATTCGATAATAGTTTCTGCATTCCTCCTATCCCTCATCCCATTAACATTCAGGGATCCCACCCATAACCTCTCCAAAAGAAATCAGACAAGAAACAAAAGCATTTTAACCATAGTGACTAGTTAGTTTTTTTTCCCCCCTCTTTGGCCTAGTTTTTCCAGTTATACTTTTTTGTCTGATTGCAGTAATGTGTTTCTTTAGTCTAAAGCGTTTCTGCTGTGATAACTCTTCATGATTACTATGCCTCCTTGCCCACATGACAGATGCTATAAACTTGTCCAAATCTGGAAAAAAAATCACTCACTTCAACTTTTTTTCCCTTCGTTTCATCAAGAAATTCATTGATTTGCACTACAGTATACAAGTCTTCGTTCATCACCTTTGAAATCTCTGCTCCTTCAGACCATTGTTCATCATCCTTCATACTGTCATCAGTATACTGAGACATTCCATCCAACTCATCTACTGAGCCTTCCTCTAATGCTTGTGCATCTGTCTGAGTCACACTCTCACTATTAACTACATCTTCAACTTCATCACTTGAATGTCCAATAACAGCAGAACTACATCCAGCTTTCTCACCATCGTCAGCATCATCATCGCTTTCACTTACCTCAGTATGCTTAGTGACTCCCTCAGAAGTCCTTCGCTTCTCTGTTACTTTTTGTTGTGTCTTTATAATTTCCATGGTGTCAGTATTGTCATTGTCTTTAATCGATCCATTCTCCGTTGACTCTACAGTCAATCACTGTTCATTATCCACATTTTTATGCTGGCAAGAGAAGCGTTTGTGGCCCAAATTTCCACATTCAAAGCACTTGAGGTTATCAGTACTTGCATACAGCATATAAGAATTTTCTCCATGACTCACACGGAACGAGATCTCTATCGTATGCTCAGGTGAAGTAAGAAACATCAAAACTTGCCGTCTGAAAGAAAGAACGGGTTTCAACGCTGCGTTTTTACATCCTAATGGGATCATTCTTACTGGACTTGCAATTTTTCCAAATCGTGTCAACTCTTTAGTAATGGCGTCATTTGATATGAAAGGTGGCACATTGGATATTGTTACTTTAGTAGCTGGGGCCGCTAAAGGAGTCACCGGCACAAACATTTCTTTAATCCAAATTCCGCTCTCCGTCAACTGATTCACTAACTGTTCTGTTTTCAAAAACACTACAATAGCCTTATTCATTCGTGATGCTGAGAGAATGTTCTCAA